TATTTGTAAAAGATATTGTGGAATTTTCGAGTCCGGCCGTGTTGAATGAATTTTATATATGAATGATTGAATTTGTTAGAAAGATAATATGTACAATAGAATTTAGCTCGAGGTATGAATACATTATCCTTAAGAATATTTTGCCTGTATAGTAAATAAGATAACTAGGAGTTATATGAGTTATACTTCATTTGGTGCTGATAGAGTGTTTGTGTGGGGTCATGTGATGTTGGGAAGCACATTCACATTTCTTCTGGGGAAAAGGTCAAATTTACCCTCTTGTCCATGTTTATTCTCAGTTTCACTATCGATACAAATATGCCCCTACCATTAAGAAAGTAGACAAGAATACACCCAACTCTAGCCGCCTTCCACTATGAAAGGGACCCCCTCAATAAAAATACCTGGTAATTAAATAGGTCACCCTCATTTTTCTTTATTAATATTTCTTTTTCCATCTATATTTTTAATTTTTGTCCTTTTCTCTCTTTCCTCTCTCCTTTACCCTACCTTCAACCTTAGAATCCCTCCCATTTATCTTCCTTGTCTCCCACTGATGACGTCCAAATTTACTACTAAAAAGTAAAGGGACACAGTCTCACGCAATATAATTTACCCAACTATGAGTCGGAATCGAATCCCACAGAGAACAATATGTAGGGGATTAGGCGTGTAAGAGAATTATCACTTATTATGCTAAGCCAAACACTTAGAAAATTTTGAGAAAATATTTATGTCTAAAATGTGAAAATATAAACTAACCTAGAAAGCAAGTAAAATGATCAATGGCTACAAGTATGGATACACGGGGAACTACACTGAAGTAACAATCCAATGTATTTCATGATTTTAAAAATATGATCGAATTTATGTTAATTAGGCTCAGGTAATAATTCCATGTTAGCTTCTTCCAAAGACTAACAAGACTTCCAAATTGAATTATTCCTAAAACAATTAAGAGATTATGCACACCAGAATATGGCTACAAGTAGTTCAATCATATCATTAGGTAGAATCTATACAGTGAGGGTTAAAGCCTCATGTTCTAGTTAATTAATCTTTATCAACCCTAAATTATCTTTTCCAGAATTAATTCGAAGTTCATGGGTGAGTCGTAGGGTTAGATAATCCCTTTAGAGACATTAAAGAACAAATTTAATTATGTAACGACCCGACCGGTCGTTTTGAGCTTTTGCACTTTGATCGCCAGTTCTCGGGCATGACTTGCCCCGTGTTATGTATTATGACTAATGTAGATCGTTGGTTTTGGTTTTCAGGAAAATTTGAAATGAATTTGGAAGGACAGTTTCAGTTGAAAGCCTTGAATTTGAAAGGTTTGACTAGGAGTTGACTTATTTGTATATGAGCTTGGATTGGAGTTTTTATGATTTAGTAAGCTTCGTTAGGCGATTTTTGACTTAGGAGCATGATCGAAATTGGTTTTGGAGGTCCGGTGTAGAATTAGGCTTGAATTGGCGATGTTAGTATTTTGGCGATTTCCGGTTGATAGGTGAGATTTTGATCTGAGGGTCGGAATGGAATTTTGAGAGTTGTTGTAGCTTCGTTATGTCATTTGGGATGTGTGTGTAAAATTTTAGGTCATTCGGAGGTGATTTGGTTGGTTTTTTGATCAAATGCGTGTTTCGAAAGTTTTAGAAGAACTTAGGCTTGAATTCGATGTAATTTGATGGTTTTGGTGTTGTGTGAGGTGTTTTGATGATTGGAACAAGTTCGAATGATGTTTTAGGATGGGTTGTCACTTTTGGTTAAGGTCCCGGGGGCCTCGGGGTGATTTCGGATGGCCATCGGGGTGAATTTTGGACTTGTGGTATTTCTGAAGTTGCTGGTATCTGGTATTTCCGCATCTGCGGAGAAGGGGCCGCAGATGCGGTTCCGCAGATGCGTTGATGGGGTCACAGGTGCGAGTTTCCTTAAGGAGTTGCCTTTCTGCAGATGCGAGCTTGGAGCCGCATCTGCGATGCCGCAGATGCGGCGTGTGGACCGCATAAGCGGATAAGGCCATTGGGTGTTCCGCAAAAGCGGGCAGGTGTCCGCAGATGCGGTGTCCGCAGAAGCGGATTTAGACCGCAAAAGCGGACCTGAGTGCTATAGTATATTTCCGCGGAAGCATAGGAAATACCGCAGAAGCGGTGACCGCATATGCGGTAGAGTGATCGCAAATGCGAAAAGGGCTGGACAGAAAGGGTTTTAAAGGTTCATTTTGTTCCGCGAGCTAAGGCATTTTTCCTCCATTTTTGAGCAACTTAAGAGCTTTTGGTTGGAAATTGAAGGTGATTTTGATTGATTGGAGGTGAGTTCTTTGACCTTAATACATGATTTTATGGAAGAATTAACTTAGAAATTCATGGAAATTAAGCCTAAAATTGATGAACTAGGGCTTGAGATTTTGAAACTTGATTCGGGGATTTGAAGGACCATTTGAGGTCGGATTTGAGAACTTTTGGTATGTACGGACTGTGAGGAGATAAGGAATCTGTTGATGTTAAATTTTCTGATTTTCGAGAAGAGGGCTCGGGGCTCGGGTTTGGCCAATTTCTTGAATTTCGATATTTTTTCGAGTCTTTTCGATTGGGTTATGTTCCCTTAGCCTATTGTAACGTATTCGTTGTGGTTTTGACCAGATTCGATGCGCGAGGAGGTCGATTTACGAGGCAAGGGCATAGCGAGCTAGGATTTTGGCCGGCTTGAGGTGAGTAATGATTGTAAATGATATCCTGAGGGTTTGAAACCCCGGATTGCACACCGTAGTGCTATATTGAGGTGACTTGCACGCCAGATAGCGAGCGTGGGGTAGAGCACCGTTGGAGATTGTGACTTGGTCCGTCCCGATTGACGATTTTACCGCGTATTTGACTGAAACTTATTTGTTATTATCATGATTTGGGTTGATTGCCATATTTGGGATTCGTGCCAATTATTTGAACCCTTCGGGGATTTTTATCACTGTTTCCTCACTATTTTGATATACTACTTGAACTCAGTCCTCTTGATTATACTGTTTTACAAACTCAGCCGCTTTAATTGAACCTTGAGACTTAAATGATATTTCTGCTATTGTTTGGGCTGAGCACTACTATTTATTTGATGCCCGAGGGGCTTATGATGTTTTCTGGACTGAGTGAGGCTTTCAGGCCTCGAGTGGATTGTGAGGAGGCTTTCAGGCCTCGAGTGTATTGTGAGGAGGCTTTCAGGCCTCGAGTGTATTCTGAGGTGGCTTTTAGGCCTCGAGTGTATTGTGAGGAGGCTTTCAGGCCTCGAGTGTATTATGAGGAGGCTTTCAGGCCTCAAGTGCATTATGAGGAGGCTTTCAGGCCTCGAGTGTTATGTGAGGAGGCTTTCAGGCCTCGAGTGTGATGTGAGAAGGCTTTCAGGCCTTGTTTTATATGCCACGAGGAGGCTTGATATTGCGCTTGGACCGTAAGGGGCCCCTCCGGAGTCTGCACACCCACAGTGAGCGCGGGTACCCATGTGGATTGGGCTGCACGTCGCAGCTAGATATGTGGATCGGGCTGCACGCCGCAGCAGTTACTACATGATACTGTTCTGAGAGTGATCTGAGAGAGAGAGCTCGAGGGGTTGAGAGTGTTTCTGAGAGTGAGCCCGAGGGGCTGGTACTATTTTGAGATATTGCCCGAGGGGCGAACTTTTATGTGCGCATATTGCATATTTATTTGCCTTTTTACCAGTTATACTGTGGTATGTGTTGCCCGAGGGGCAGATTTTTCTGTGCTTATCAGCACTGACTGTTTGAAATCGTTTTCGTAACTGTTGAAAAGATCATTTTCAAAAGAGATTTAAACTGAGCCAAGATATTTCCAAAGATTTCACAGCGTTACTGTTTCCTCAAAGGATTGTACCCTGCTTCTATACAGCATGATGGTTTGTTTTACGTGATTTCTTGCTGCTCAGTTATTATTTACTTTTGTTACTCACTGAGTTGGAGTACTTACTTTACTCCCTGCACCTCGCGTGCAGATGCAGGTATTTGTTCACCCGGTAGCGGGTTTCGAGCTGATTAGAGGCTATGCTATAGAAGTTGGGCGAGGTGACAGCCAGCATTCACGGCACCACATTTCTTCCTTTTATTTATAAATCCTATTTTGTATATTTCCGGCTTTGTAGTTGTAACTTCACTCCAATAGATGCTCGTGACTTGTGACACTCCGGTTTGGGCTATGTCAGGATGGTTCTTCTATTATTATCGATGTTTTCCGCAAATTATTGATATTAAATCATGCTTCATAATTGCTTAATGGTAATTTAACGCTTAAAAGAGGTGTCATGTATTGGTCTGGCTGGCCTTGTCTTCACGAGAGGCGCCATCACGACCGGGTTTGGGAATTGGGTCGTGACAAGTTGGTATCAGAGCCTAGGTTACTAGGTTTCACGAGTCATGAGCAGGTTTATTAGAGTCTCGCGGATCGGTACGGAGACGTATGTATTTATCCTCGAGAGGCTGCAGAACCTTTAGGAAAAATTTCACGTTCTTGAATCCTTATCGTGCATCGTTGATTCAGCTTGAAAAGACACTCTTGAAATTCCTTCCACGCATTCGTAAGCGCGCATGAGCGCTCAGTATCTGATGTGCCTTGAGGGCTTGTGATTTCCCTGATCGAGAGGCGAGATGTGATCTCTGCGAGTTTGATGTTGGGCCAGTCTAGAGGACTTGAGGCCTGATCTTTGCCTATGGCTTGAGCACCGAGGTGCTGATTATGTGAGTAAGTGTTTTGAACTTATATGTTTGGTATTGTCCCTATAAGTGGAAGTGATGGCTGGGTAGTTATGTGATGAGTATGTTAGTACTATGGGATGT